TGGTTGTAAGAACCTCTGGTTCTAAGACCCCTGGTTGTAAGAACCTCTAGTTGTAAGACCCCTCGTTGTAAGAACCCCTGGTTGTAAGTCCCCTGGTAGTAAGAACTAAGGCTTGTAAGACCCATGGTTGTATAAACCCTTGGTTGTAAGACCCATGGTTGTAAGAACCCCTGAGTGTAAGAACCAATGGTTCTAAAGCCCCTGGTTGTAAGAACCCCCCGTTGTAAGACCCCTGGTTGTAAGACCCCTACTTGTAAGAACCCCTGGTTCTAAGACCCCAAGTTGTAAGAACTACTGCTTGTAAGACTCCTGGTTGTAAGACCCCTGGTTGCAAGAACCCTTGGTTGTGATACTTCTGATTGTAAGAAATCCTGGTTGTATAACCCAAGCTAATAAGACTTCGAGTTGTAACAACCGCTGGTTGTAAGACCCCTGGATGTAAGAAACTCTGGTTGTAAGACTCCTAGTTGTAATAACCTCTAGTTGTGAGACTCATGGTTGTAAGAACCCCTGGTTGTAAGACCCCTGGTTGTAAAAACCCCTGGTTGTAAGAACCCTGGTTTTAAGAAACCCTCGTTGTAAGACCCCTGCTTGCAAGAACCCCCGGTTTTAAGAACCCTGGTTGTAAGAAACCCTGGTTGTAAGACCCCTGGTTGCAAGAACCCCTGGTTGTAAGACCCTTGGTTGTAAGAACCCCTGAGTGTAAGAACCATGGTTGTAAGAACCCCTGGTTCTAAGAACTACTGCCCGTAAGACCCATGGTTGTAAGAACCCCCGGTTGTAAGTCCCCTGGTTGTAAGTACCCCTGCTTCCAAGACCCTCGTTGTAAGAACCCCTGGTTGTAAGACCCATGATTGTAAGAACCCCTGGTTGTAAGACCCCTGGTTTTAAGAAACCCTTGTTCTAAGACCCCTCGTTGTAAGAACCCCTGGTTGTAAGACCCCTGGTTGTAAGACCGATGCTTGTAAGAACCCCTTGTGTTAAAACCCCAGGTTATAAGAACTACTGCTTGTAAGACCCCTGGTTGTTAGAGCCCCTGGTTGTAAAACCCGTGGTGGTAAGAACCACTGGTTGTAAGAAATTCTGGTTGTAAGGCTTCTGGTACTAAGAACCTCTGGTTGTAAGACCCCTAGTTGTAAGAACACCTGGTTGTAAAAACCCCTGGTTGTAAGAACTCTTCGTTGTAAGACCCCGGTTGTAAGAACCACTGGTTGTAAGACGTCGGGTTGTAAGAACCCCTGGTAGTAAGACTCCTTGTTGTAATAACCCCTCGTTGTAAGAACCCCTGGTTGTAAGACCCATGATTGTAAGAACCCCGAGTTGTAAGACCCTTGGTTGTAAGAACCCATTGTTGTAAGACCTATGGTTGTAAGAACCCCTGGTTGTCAGACCCCTGGTTGTAAGAACCCCTGGTTGTAAGACCCCTGGTTGTAAGAAACTCTGGTGGTAAGACCACTGGTTGTAAGAACCAATGGTTTTAAGACCCCTGGTTGTAAGACGTCTGGTTGTCAGAACCCCTGGTTGAAAGACCCCTGGTTGTAAGAAACTCTGGTGGTAAGACCACTGGTTGTAAGAACCTCTGGTTTTAAGACCCCTGGTCGTAAGAACCCCTCCTTGTAAGACCCCTGGTTGTAAGAATCCCTGGTTGTAAGAACCCCTGGTTGTAAGACCCATGGTTGTAAGAACCCTTGGTTGTAAGACCCCTGGCTGTAAGAAGCCCTGGTTGTAAGACCCGTGGTTGTAAGAAACCCTGGTTGTAAGACCGATGGTTGTAGTAACCGCTGGTTGTAAGACCCCTGGTATTAAGAACCCTTGGTTGTAAGGCCCATGGTTGTAAGAACCCCTGGTTTTAAGACTTCGCGTTGTAAGAACCCCTGGTTGTAAGACCCCTTGTTGCAAGAAACTCTGCTTGTAATACTCCTGGTTGTAAGAACCTCTGGTTGTAAGACTCATGGTTGTAAGGACCCCTGGTTGTAAGATCCCTGGTTGTAAGAACCCCTGGTTGTAAGCCCTCCGGTTGTAAGAACCACTGGTTGTAAGAACCCCTGGTTGTAAGAGCCATGGTTGTAAGAGCCCCTGGTTGTAAGAGCCATGGTTGTAAGAACCCCTGGTTTTAAGACCCCCTGGTTCTAAGACTCCTGGTTGTAAGAACCCCCGGTTGTAAGAATCCCTGGTTGTAAGACCCCTGGTTGTAAGAACCCGTGGTTGAAAGACCCCTTGTTGTAAGAACCCCTGGTTGTAGGACCCATGGTTGTACGAACCCCTGGTTTGAGGACCCCTGGTTATATATATATATAAGAACATCACCTTCTCTTTGAGATAAGTACTAGATTATTGGCCAATGGCTCACTACTTACTCTCGGTGTCGCATTGATGTCCACAGATGTTCATGCACATGATCGTCTTGTTGATTTCGGGAATTCATACATGTTGCGGTCGTTTAAGCCAATGAAATGTCATTGTCTAACTGTGACATCGAATTCTATGTGCAAGTGACCATAAATTTGTAATGTTTTCAGTTACACTGGCGTTCACGCCAGTGCGTTCGGTGTCCGTACCACTTCGTTGTCTCTCAGACTGGTTGTGCCTCGTGTTCCTTCAGCTACTTGTATCGCTAGTGCCAACTGGCGCTATACTTAAAATAATTAACACTCGCCCGATCTTCAGTTGAAATTTTTATTTATACCAGTCTGGTGCTGGGTCTCTTTGTTAATGATCTTAGCTGTTTTATGATTTAGAAAGACACTTTATTTATTCATAATTATTTTGAGTTTACCTTTTTGCACATTTGACCATCTTTGACCTTTGGACTCAGCTTATATGTATAATTAAAATTACAGTATTATAAAAAAACCAACCACAACAACAACAACAAGAACGACAACAAAACAAAGCCAAACAAAAAGATACGTTATTAAACCCTACAGGTTAAAACTTTCTTGTACCATACCTTCAACACTTTAACAAGGTTTGGAAATTACGTTGCAACCCTCTAGCAAAGTTACCTCAGAGGTACAGTGTACTTTATCAGCATATCGGGTTTATCGTTGGCTGTTTATATGTCAGTTTTGTCTGCATATTGTGTTTTTATCCTGTTGCATTGTGTATCGTTGTGTTCTGTTGTTTTCCTTTACTCGCTGTCGGCGACATTTTGTCTGCCAGTGCTTACTTTTGGGCCGTTTTCAGTGTGAGGCTTTGTTCCTCCACTTTTATTTGAGGCGTTGTCCTCATTTTATTGAGGTTTTGTCCTCATGTTGTATCAAGGCTTTGTCCTTGTTTTTTATATTGAGGCTTCGTCCTCATATTTTACATTGTATTTTGAGGCTTCATCCTCATATTTTATACTGAGGCTTTGTCCTCATATTCTATTTTGAGCCTTTGTCCTCATATTTTATATTGAGGCTTCGTCCTCATTGTTTTATATTGAGGCTATGTTTCTCAGTGCGAGGCTTTGGTCCTCATTGTTGTAGGCACCTGTTACTTTGTTTGTACTACTTCTTTGGTTTGTTTGCAGTGATACGTGTGTGGTTCTGCTTGTTTGTATTTTTGTGTAGGGTAACCAGATGCCAATATTATTTGGTTTGAATTTCTATTCACATTTTTTACCTTTTATGTCTATTTTTTAGTCTTCAATCGTGCAATCCGTTATTTTGGTTTACATGCAGCTACATTAATTTTAATCTCTGGTTTTGTTGGCTCCCCTGTTTTGATATGTGTGGACATTATAGTCCTGTGTTTATTGTGATGCGACACCGTAATGTGTTTCTTTATGCTTCACTCTCCAGGTCACATCATTACTCTTAGCTTTGTTGTTTTGGGGAATTTACTGTTAATTCCTTTTTGTTTGGGAGATCCTGATTGAATTGGGCAATTCCACCGGTACGGACATTACACCCAGAGAGCATTTTTTAACTTTGATCTCCTGTCCTGCTCACAACATGCAGTACCGTAAAATTCCGAAAATAAGCCCCTCCATGTATAAGCCCCTTCAAATATAAGCCCCCCAATCCGGTAACGCAGGACCCCCTCCGTGAAATCGCCCCTCCAACTATAAGACCCCCCCCCCCCCGGGGGGGCTTGTACTTGGAAAATTACCCTCAAATACAGAGTAAAACAAAGCAAAAACGGTAGATTTACTTCCAACTATAAGGCTAGCCCAATCGATTTTAAAAAGCAAATTTCCCTCCGTAGATAAGCCCCTCAAAAAGGGTCTTTGAAAAATATAAGCCCCGGGGCTTATTTTCGGAATTTTACGGTATATTGCTGTTTTGTATCAACCACATTGCACCATAATGACTTGCCTTTTGCTCAATAAAGAAATACTCGGATAATAAATTGTTAGCTCCCTCTGATTTTGGCTGAAAGGCCTGTAACGGACATTACAGCTAAAACAAACACCAATTTTAATCACGACTTTTAAGGCTCAGTTCCTGTGATTTATGAAACGTTTGAAGGAAACAAATGCATATTTTTTTATTGGCAAATGCTCAAAGTTTTCTTCAGTTACATTAAATTTCTCTGAGGTCTATCGTAACTGTTTTGGTTCCCTAAAAGGTTGTGTTACGGACATTACACCAAGTGTTACGGACATTACTGTCTGTGAATTTTTTCTTGAAAATTATATCATGTGTACTATGGTGCTAAAAAAATTGCTTATTTCATTTTTTTTATGTTAAGTTTACCATCAGCAATATATAGAAGCCCTGAAAATGAAATGAAAACAATAGCACACAATAGTTGTATGGTAATTATCGCTGGTCAGCTCATTCCTTTTCAAATCATGCTCTGAACATTCTTTGAAAGAAAACCACTGGCCAGTAGTTTTAATCAAATTATAACATCTCATTGTATTCTGAAAGTTACATGAACAAGATGGTTGTCTTTTCTAAGAAAAAAAATGTCAAAAAGGGGCTGAAAGGGCCAGAACTTTTAGAGCAAAACTAACAGTAGATGTTGAGAGGTATAAGGCCTATAAGAACAAAGACAAAGAAAAGAAAAGA